ATGGAAATTATATATCTGGGACTGAACATGAATGGGAAGAGATGACACAAACAAGTGATGTGAGCAATGAATCTAGAACCCCATGACATCTACTAAGCGCCATCATAGCATTCACTATGTAGCAGCATCCCTCTTCAGATCAAATCCATGGCCATATGGGACTCTCATTCAATCAGTTAAAAAATAAAAGAGGAAAACCCCTAAACCCCTAACTTGTTTAATAGATAGATTGGTTCTTTACGTAGGCAAAAAAAAAAAAAAAAAAAGATGTCTGCAAAATAGTCTTATTCAGGGGTGACTGTGAAAGACAGTGATAATACATTGTTTGAAAGAAGTCCTCTCAATGGGCAGAGCTTCAGTAGGTGGTCATACTTTGTGTGATAGGAGAAGTGTCCTAGAGGGAGATTGCATATGGACTCATGGACAATGGTAAATGATCAGGAGCCTGTAAGAAGAAAACTAGATATTGAGACAAGAAGGTCTAGGGAAGAAGTATGTACCTGGACATATAAGAGTGGGCAGAATGTGTGAAGATTTTTTTTTTAAATCACCTATTAATGCCAACCAGAAAGTACCTGAACAGCATGGACACCAAACAGCCACATAGACAAAATAATTGGACTAATTCACTGGCACGAGAGGCAAATGGATGTCATGGCCACAATGGCAGAGATGGAAGCTGTGCATGGGTTGAAAAACACGGATTCCCACTTACCAAGGCTGATCTAGTGATCACTTTTTTTGAAAGTTTAACCTACCAGCATCAGACAATAATGCAGAACCTCTAATTTGGCATTGTTCCTTGAGAAGACCAACCAGTCATTTGGTATCAAAGAGACTACTACATGGGACCCTTTTCTCCTGGGAAAGGGTTCCCCCCTCCCCAGAGAAATAGTTATTTCATTTGGGTCTGTCTTTGCCTTTCCTGCCCACAGGTCTTAGCACCATTATCAAGCCATTTACAGAAAGCTTGATCTATGGACTTGAAAAAATATAGTATCCAACTATATTTTTTTTACAGACCCACTGGTTATGCCATATAGTGCTATATAATTTAGCCACTAGAGGCTACTGCCTAGAGTGTTGGCATGTTTGCTGGAAGTGCAGCTGAAACACTGAGAAAGCAGTACACTGCAAGGTCAGGGTAACATGACATGGTATAGATAGTAAATAACTGATCTTTATAAGGCACCATATCCCCAGTAGGAAGAATACATTCCTAAGTCTGGGAACTAAGAGGAAGAACCAGGAGTCACTTTATTTGCCACACTTTTAGAGATACCCACCTTCCAAGGGATTCCCACAGTTTTGGATTCTATAGGATTAGAGATCCTAATCCCCATCATGGGTGAATTTTTGCCTGGAGACATAGCAAAGCTCCCATTGAGCTATAGGTTACCACTTCCACTTGCACACTTTGGGCTCTCTAGTCAGGGCAAGAGGAAGAGACACTATTTTGTCAGGGTCAAGGACCCTAATCAGTAGTAAAAGATAGGATGGCTATTATGTGATGGGAGCAGAGAGGAATGTGTATGGAACAGAAGAGGCACATTCTTAACTAACTGTAACAAATAATGGTGATATCGTGGTAGAGGCTAAACATTAGTAAAATAACCAGAGTTCAGACCTCACAGGAATGAGGATTTGGGATACAGCAGCAGGTGAGCTATTAATGCTAACAGAGGGCCACAGGACTTTGAAATACAGAGTGAAGGAGGGAGGTAATGAGTACCAACTATGTACTCATAAAATCAACTATGTAGGCATGGAGGCTGTACTTCATCCTGCTAACCTTCCTCTTTTAAGTTACCCCTTAGGAGGAGAGGCCTACCACAACCCTGGAGGAGCCACTCCCCAAATATTTTTATGAAGTGGATCCAACTGGTCTATATGGTAAACTGTGATGGATGTGAAGATGTGTTAATCAAGTTTTCCTTCAAGTAAAGGGCTCACTCCTCAGCTGTAAGAGGTGTGATAAATTGACAATCCCCAGCTGTTGATGCCTTCTGAGTTAGCTTCAGGTTTTCATCCTGTGCTTTTCTCAGGGTGGTTCCCAGCCAATGACTGAGCAAGGCCTTTTGCCACTCAATGGGGAAATTCTGTGAAAGAAAATCTTTTATGTGGACAATCTATGTGATCAGCCTACTCAATCTGACTTCTGCTCCTTTTTTTTTTTTTTTTCACACATGTTCCCTTCACCTCCAATAAGCTTGTGTGTTTCTAACTTCTCTTCAGTATCTACTTCTGGGGCAATCTAACTGGAATAGTGGTGGATTGGAATTAGGCCCCTGAACTCCACATTCTCTGCTCCCAAACTTGGGATGGGTGACCAGACTCATCAGAACTGCTGTTTTCTCATATGTACAATTAAAGATACTTATTTCTTTCATATCCACATTACCACAGTTATTATGAGGATAAAATGAACACATGCAGGGAAATGCCATGCAATTTGAAAGTCACTATGTAAACTGTCATAGTTTTTATTAAAAGAATTAAAGTGCAAAGCATGATGGCACATGCCTGTAATCCCACCTACTAAAAAGGCTGAGGTAGGAAGATCACAAGTTAGATGCAGGCCTGGACAACTTAATGAGACCCTGTCTCAAGATAACAAAATAAACAAAAAGGGCTGTGAATGTAGCTCAGTGGCAGAATGATTGTCTTGTACATATCAGTTCAGTTTCCAGTACTGCAAAAAAAAAAAAAAAAAAAGGTTTAAAGAGTTAAAGCATTTCCCAGGTTACCAAACAATGCTCGACAGTTTAAAAAAACTCAGATAATAGTTTTCAAGTCCTTTGAAAGCTGGTATGATGCATGCAGGTTTTCTGTAGCTCTATTTATTCTCAGGGAGTAATTTATACACCTAGATATCCTGTTTGACAATCAGATACAGACCTAAACAAAGAATCGTAGAGTACTGCAGTAAGCTGTTGTGTTTTGGTTTGTTTCTTTTCATTTCTAGGATAACAATTTTTACTAAGAGGAAACAAGAAACGTTGAAATATCTCTTTTGACAAACACAGAGGCTAGAGGGTTTTTTTTTAAAAAACACTTAATATCCATGTGATCATGAACCAATTTTTTTTCTGACTTTCTTGTAATATGATGCAATTTTATATTTGGGGGTAAGTTTTATAATGTTACAATCTTAACATGCATGTAAACAACATATTTCCTATAGTTTTGCACTTATTCTCTGTATTCTTGTTCATTGAACAAAAAGACCTAGTGATCAGGCCAGTTACTTTATCAGAAACATTTTTAGCAGTTACTTTTTCATAAAAAAGAAGGGAAAATTTTCTATAAAGTGCTATTGTTTGCTTAGCTGGCAACTCTGATTTGCAGTGGGTTTTCTCTCTTCCAGTCTTTTAAAAGGCATTTCTTTGATTTGCATTTAAGGGTTAACACAAGTTGTTACAAACTTTGAAAACTTGTGGTTTAATATGAAGAATTAATAACCACAACCACAAAAGTGGGAAGTTATACTCCATGTATGCACGATATGCCAAAAGACATCTACAGTCATATATAACTAAAAAGAATTTTTAAAAATTTAAAAAGAAATGTTCTTACACATATTTTAGAAATATGGATAAAAGAATAATTCCCTAATACTCTACCATGGTACAGAATACCTGCACTGTGACTTACACACTAATAGGAAAGAGAATGTCAATAATAGAAACGATTATAAAATCTACTAGGCAAATTTAATGTTTTCATCATGGTTTCATGTGAATAGCAGAATTCTTCAGATTGATATGACATTTTGTATGTGCATTCTGGGAACTCTGATAATTGAATACAACTTCAAAAAGGCTAACACCCAGTGACCTCCAAATGGGGTTCATAGAACAGTACACAATGATGAAACCTGAAGCAATAAAACACCGATGAACTGAAATATAAACATTTCGTGCTCCCAGGACATGGCTGAATTTTCATTTCATTTTGTTTTAGAATTCTACTAGGCTGTCTTCAGACATCTTCTTTCATATCTTAAGTCTTGTCTGAGGGATCTTAGGGGAGAATCCCAGTTTGGAGGAACCCCATAAAGTTAGCACATAGTTCCTATACTGTAACAGGGTGTTTCTTTCTGAACATAGTTGTCTATTTGATTCCCACAGAGCGCATGAAGTCAAATTTACACGTGAGGGTCCCTTTGCCTGGGAGTTCTAAATATCTCAGTTCCTCCACCTTTTCGCCTTTCCCCTGGGTTTGGAGGCCACCTGTGCCACTGGGCACACCTTCGATTCTCACGGTGCCTGAAGCTTGCAGGCTGCAGGCTCCGACCCCGGGAAGGAGGGGCTAAGCGGAAAGAAACTAAGAGTAGGGAGCGCGGCGGCTCACAGGCAGCGCTGGGGGACGCGGAGGGGCGGGGCGGCGCGCGCGCTCCGCCGCCGCCGCCGCCGCCGCGTCACCAGCGTGCGGCACGTGCCCATGTTTACGTCCCTCGTGGAGCCGCCGACGTCAGCAGCTTAATGGCAACATTGTGGCGATGCTAAGGCGCAGAGTTTAGGAGACGCGTCTACCGTGAGGCCGGCTCCGCTCGGTGGGCAGGAAGAAGAGCAGGGGCGGGGAGGTCGGCCCCGGCGAGCGGCGGTGATACACAGCCCGCCGGCCCGGCCCGGCCCTGCAGCGCCGGCTTTTCGTCTCCGGAGCGCTGCAGGCGCAGCTCCGCGGCCTCGCGCGGGGGGCGGCCGGGCAGCCGCGAGGCGCTGCCGCAGCGCCGGGCTTGTAAACAGATCCGGCCGCACGTGACCATGTGAACTACCTGCTCCGGGGACGCGTATTGTCTCTCCTGCGAGCCGCACCACAAAGGAGCTCGGCGGTTCGAGTGCGGAGGGGCGGGCGAGCGAGCGCAGAGAGCCGGCCGGCGCGCTAAGATGGCTGAAGGCGCCCGGAGAGGGTGAGCGGGGGGCGCGGTGCAGCCAGCCGCCGAGACTTCAGGCGGGTAGGGCTTCGGCCCTCCCCCGCGGCCGGGCGCCGCAGCCACCATGTCTTTCGCTCTGGAGGAGACGCTCGAGTCGGACTGGGTGGCTGTGCGGCCCCATGTGTTTGATGAGCGCGAGAAGCACAAGTTCGTCTTCATTGTGGCCTGGAACGAGATCGAAGGCAAGTTTGCTATAACCTGCCACAACCGGACAGCCCAGAGGCAGAGGAGCGGCTCCCGGGAACAGGCGGGGACTCGAGGGGGTGCCGAGGCTGGCGTACCCGTGTCCGACGGGACCCGCGGGCCAGGCAGCCCGGTGGGCAAGGGACGGCCTGAGGCCACCGGCTCTGCGACTCCGGTCCGGAGCCCTGGGTCCCGGAGGAGTCCGACCTGGGCGGAGGGAGGATCTCCGCGGAGCGCGCGCTGCCTTCGGGGGGACCCGCCGCAGCGGAGCCCGGCCGGCAGAGGAGCGGAGAGTCTTCTCAGGAGCCCTGCGCGGGCCAAGCCCAGCCCGGTCCGAAAAGGAGTGCAAGCCAGAGATGCGGCAGGGTCAGCCACTGCTACCCAACCGGCGCCCAAGGAGGCCCCGGTGTCCTCTGTGCGAGTTGTGAGCGCCTCCGGGGCGGTCTCCGAGGAGATCGAAGTCCTGGAAATGGTTAGGGAAGACGAGACGCCCTTGGCGCTCTCCGACGCGGAGCAGCCGCCTCCCGCGGCCGAGCCGGAGTCTCCGGCTGAAGAGTGCAGCTGGGCCGGGCTCTTTTCCTTTCAGGATCTGCGCGCCGTGCACCAGCAGCTGTGTTCTGTGAACTCGCAGCTGGAGCCATGCCTGCCAGTGTTCCCCGAGGAACCCTCCGGCATGTGGACCGTGCTGTTCGGGGGCGCGCCTGAGATGACAGAGCAGGAGATCGATACTCTGTGTTACCAGCTCCAGGTCTACCTGGGCCACGGCCTGGACACCTGTGGCTGGAAGATCCTCTCTCAGGTGCTCTTCACCGAGACCGACGATCCTGAGGAGTATTACGAAAGCCTCAGCGAGCTTCGACAGAAGGGCTACGAAGAAGTGCTTCAGCGGGCCAGGAAGCGTATCCAGGAGGTGAGAACCTAGTTTGTGTTGTTGTTAACGCGTTTGGTTCCTCACTACTAAAGGCTGGAGCCAGGGTCTGGGATGTGCGCCTTTGGGATGGTTGGTTTTCTTCAAACGGGAAAAGGAAAAGAGGTGTTCCTGATCGCTCTTCCCATTCGTTTCTTTTAGTGGCTTATTTTAAAGTTCTTTGTTTCTGTGAAGGCCTTTTTTTGATAAGAATTAGATTTGCTTCCCCATTTACTAAATACATGCTATGTAATAAGTGCACTCTGTTTACAACTCAGCGTTGGTAATGAGATTAAAGCCACTGAGAAAAAAGGTATTCTGTAATCATAGATTAAATGAGCATTACTTATGTCCCCAAAACTTTTTCCAATAACTGCCCAGATGTCAACTCTTTCCTGGTGTCATTTCTTTACTTGAGATAGTTTGTCTCAAGAAGCAAAATTGATCTTATGTTTTCTTTTTATGCAGTCTGTTGATGCAGGCAAATTTTAAATTCATTTTGTTTTTTGGATGTTCAAACACTGAGTTATACCCCCAGCCCTAAATTTGATTTTTTAATGAGTGATCTGTCCAAATTTAAAAAGAACTGACAATTGGATGCAAATTTATTTTTAGGATGTCTCAAGTCTTTACAGATGATTCAGGTTTCAGTCATGTTTTAGGGAGGAAAAAAAGGTCCTAGAAAGTAATGCTTATTATACTTTCGTATTTAGAATAAGTAAATGAAGTACAAAAGTTTTCAGTCCTTAAGATAACAGGAAATAAAGGGGGAAAATGCCAATATGGCCTTTTTACTAAAAAAGGATTTTAAAAGTTTCCTCTAATGGACAGTACAGGTAGCTTCTCAAGCAAGTTACTGTTAAAAAGTATTGGTAAAAATTAAGGTTAGATTTGAGATGGGGAAATGCCCTCTTTTATGGTGTTTTTATTCTTTAGATTGTGATATCATTTGTCTATGTATGTCTAATATTTGAATCTTGCTATTAGGCCATGGTACTGAAGCCTCCTGGTTTCTCTGTTCAACAAGAGGTGTATTTTATTGTTGGACTTGAATATTTATTTAGTAAACAGTTCTTTCTTCTTCTACCACAGGACTTTTTACAATGTCCTATATACAGAATTCACTCCTTTCTGTTGGTTTGGTTTATGCTAAATGTCACTCACTCATAACTTGACTCTAGATTCCAGAAATCTTTTTTTTTTTTTTTCCTCCTTTTTGTATCTTCTGATGTCTTTTCTACCTTAAATTATTCTTGGAAAGAAGGGATGGAAATCACATTCTTTCTAGTGTTTTAATCTGTAGATCTTTTAAACTGTAAGACCAAAGTTAGTATTTCTTTCTTTTGCTCAGTTACAGAGTAATATTATAGTAGTTTTTTTTCAAACTAGTAATTTTTCATCCCTTATTGAATAGACCTTTCTGATTTTAACTTTCAGGGTATTCAGAAAAAAGGAACTCTTTCTGGATTCAAATGGGTCAAAAATGAGCTGCCAAAAATATAGTTTTCTCAAACTCATTAATAGGGTTACATTTTTCAAAAATAATATATTTTATTATAATATATTTTCCTAATTAATGTATTTTCCTATTTAAAATATTGACTTTGTGTTTTATTTTCTTTGATAGCAAAAAGTTAAACTTTTTTTTTGTAGACTAGGAATTGAACCCAGGGATACTCCATCTCCAACTCTTTTCATTTTTATATTTAGATAGGGTACTGCTAAATTGCCTCAGCTGGCCTCAAACTTGTGATCCTCCTTCCTCCTCCTCCAGAGTCTCTGGGATTATGGGTTTGTGCCTCCATGCCCAGCTAAAAAAGATTAAAATTTTAGGATTATTTTGTGTTTTGGGAACCAACTCAAATATTGTAAACTCAAACCATAAATACATAACTTTTGGTCCTTCACACAGTTTGCTTGAACAGTATTTTAAAAATATCAAAGACAACAAATTTGTTTATAATGCCTACCTTCATTTGTACTGGAAGATTATATTGAAATTTAGACCTGTTTTGGGGAAAGCATTATGTGGTTGATTAATGATGTCTGCCATGAGCATGGTATTGAAAGTGTATATGGGACACTGCCATGTATTTGTGTTCTGGCTGCTTAAAATTTTTACTATCTTAATAGTTTGCAGTAGTTTTTTAGTTGTTTGTTTTGTTTTTGATTTGTTTATGGTGCTGGGGAAAGAACCCAGGACCCTGCACATGCTAGGCAAGTGATCTAGTACTGAACTATGCCTCCAGCCTCAGTAGTTAACATTTCTTAAGATAAAATCTGTATGGAAGTTATGTCTTGTTTGTATTAATTCTGCGGCCAGCGTTTAGTAATTCCACCTAATTCAGTGTTGTTTATTCCCAGTTCTCAAGTTTATTCAGCTTGTGGAATTAGGGATAACTTTTAGCAGATATATTACTTAGAAAATTTAGTCCTTTGATCATGTTTTTCCTTCTTTAATTTCTGTCTTTTTTTGTGGTACCACAGAACTACAGGATATCCTCAGCCCTTGTCTCCTTCAGTTGCTGAGGCTGTACTCAAACTTGTGATCCTCCTGAGTAACTGGGCAGGCTTGTGCCACCTTGCCAACTCTACACCTGTTTTTGTTTAAAATGACCACTAAATTGTTGAAAGGAAATTTGGTGGTGGTGGTTTTTTGCTGTGCTGGGAATAGAACACAGGGTCTCAGGCATGCTAGGCAGGCACTCTCCCACTGGGCTATGTCCCCAGCTTCTCACACCTTAATCCCCTTCCTGTCCCCCACACCTTTTAAAATAAAACAGACTGTTCAACTAGATTGTAAATTTTGTAAGATACAAGTAGATTGAAAACTTTGCAAGGCCACTGGCGGCCTTGACAGTATCTTGGTGTTCTCTTCTTTACTGCCCCTTCTTCATAAAATGTGAGCACTGTTAATGTTAGTAGATAAAAGGACACCAGGGTTTTCTTTTACGATTACAAGAGTTTATAGGATATGGAAGATGTATATTTCTAAGGCAAAGTGTGTAAATACAATTTCTGTAAAATGATAAACATAATTTTTGAGGGGCTATGATTTAAAAGATAGGAGAAAAAGCTCTGGAAATTACTAATAACTTTTTAAATAAGAGGTCTTTATTTGGGGTTGGTGAATTCCCCATAAAAGGGCAATGGGTGGGATAATGAAATGAGGCACTCTTAAGTAGCCTGCAAAGTATTACATATGTCAGCTGTGAGCATTATTGGAGATAAGGGCTTTTACCAACTTAAAAAAAATTTTTTTGTCATAGATGAACACAGTACCTTTTTTTTGTTTGTTTGTTACCAGGGCACTCAACCACTGAGCCATATCCCCAGCCCTATTTTGTATTTTATTTAGAGACAAAGTCCCACCGAGTTGCTTAGCACCTGATTTTGTTGATACTGGCTTTGAACTCTTGATCCTCCTGTCTCAGCCTCCTGAGCCACTGGGATTACAGGTGTGCACCACTGCGCCAGGCATGATACCTTTATTTTTTTATTTTTTATTTTTAGTTGTAGTTGGACACAACTGTAGTTGGACATAATTTTATTTATTTATTGTTATGTGGTGCTGAGGATCAAACCCAGCGCCTCCTATGTGCTAGGCGAGCTCTGTTTCACTGAGCCACAACCCCAGCCCCACAATGTCTTATTTTTATTTATTTTATGTGGTGCTGAGGATGGAACCCAGGACCTCACATGGGCCAGGCAAGTGCTGTACCACTGAGCTACAACCTCATTCCCTTTCATCAAACTTTTAAAAGGTGTTCCTCAAATAGTTTTAAAAACCCTGTTGTAAATTATTTTTGAATTTATGGCACCTCTATGGGAGTTCAATTTTTGGAATATTCTTTGAGATTTCATAAGGGATCTTAAGAAGTACTCCCATATCTTTGTTTTCTGTTTAAAGTCTTTGTAAATGATTCATTACTTTGGTCAGTTGACTGAAAATTATAGTTTGTAAGGACTTATAACTATTATAGAGCTAATAAATTATTTTTAGATGACAGAAGAGTTGGAAGATTGTGTACTACTTCAAGCCTCAATTCTAACTAAATGTGAAATTTGGTTTACAGGGGTTTATTGCTATTTATACAGCAGGCACTTAATCCCTATGTGAATGCAGGTACCACCAAGGCCTCTTTGCTTAGTTTCACCCGTAGGCCTTGGTTGTTGGTCAGAGCTGAGGTGTGTATTACAGTGTTGTGTGCATAGGTGGCCAATACTGAGGCTTATCTTTGACCTGGATTTTGTAAATAACAGTTTCTGTGTAAGGACAGCTTTCTTGAAATGATTAATTATGGTGCTGTAGTTGGTAAACCTTAATTATGATCTAAAAATCAGTATTTACTTGGGAATTTATGATGTTTACAAAAATGTTTTCTAACTTCTTTCCAGTTGAAACCACTGTTTGAGAGCAGTATGTGCTAAAAAAATCAAAACAAAAAACCCACACAGACAGCTTATTTAACTGTTTAGAGTCGGAAAGACCTAGGTTTGAATTAAGACTCACCCCTTCAGGTTTAGTTATTTGAATAGGGAAGTGAGCCGGGCGCAGTGGTGTGTGCCTGTAATGCCAGCTACTTGGGAGGCTGAGACAGGAAGATTACAAATTCAGGGCCAATCTCAGCAGTTTAGTGAGACCCAGTCTCAAAATGACGTTTTAAAAAAATATATTTGAAAAAAGACTAGGGATGTATCTTAGTGGTACAGACTGGGTTCAACCCCTAGTATGCAATATAAACAAATAATAACAGGAAGAGGGAATTGAAAAAAATACCTAAAGAATGTTTTCTTATGTAAGTAAGTGCCCAATAAAGTCCCTAGCATTTACAGAAGAGCTTCTATTGAAGTAGTTTTTCTGTTTCATTAGTAAAGATTCTCTAGTTTTTTTTATTTTTGTGTAGTGCTGGGGATTGAATCCAGGGCTTTGTGCATGTGGGGCAAGCATTCTACCAACTGAGGTACATCCCCAGCTATTATTTTTTTTATTTTATTGAGAA